GAAGAGGTAACAGAAGACTATCTTGAGGTTGATATCAGCTAGCAAACTGTGCTGGGTCCCACTGACATTTTAATGATTTTGCTTTTTATTATACATAGATGTGAAAATACATAGGAGATTTTTTTTTATATTATCAGAATCAATCAAGTTACTGTCAGGGTGGAAAATGAAAAAGGGTATGGTCAGAAGTCTAATTAGAAGTTTTTCAACAGTCTGGACCATGGTAAACAGTGGTTTGATTATTCGTAGATGTTAATATTGAAAGTGGTGGGGATCATTAGTTTCTGACAATATTTTTAGTATAGATCTTATAGAAGAGCTGCTTTGAGGAAGAAAGCATTTAAAATGGGTCCAGAGTACCTATAAGATGGAGGATGCCTTAAATCACAATGGATATTGAGGTCACCAGGAATTTTTACAAAATTACTTTTGAAGTGTAAGTCTGCTAGCATGACCTGCAGATTTGTTGGTGACTGTGGAAGGTTAGGTTAGAGAGAAGGGAAAATCTGGTCAGATGACAGTAAGAAGGAGACTCACTGTTCTTCACTTTTAAGATACACTATAACCGGAAGAGAAGGGAGAATGTAATGGATAAATCAGGCAAAAGGGGTCAACTGTGTGGTGAGGGATAGAATTCAACTTTTAGTGGTAAGGTTAATGGAGTATATACAGATATTGATTTACAATGATGCACACCTGGAACATTATAATGCAATGCTAGTTCAATAATTAGATATTAAATAATCAAAAGAAAGCATAATAAGAAGAAGGGAGAATAACCTAGAATTATCAATAAGGAACTAGAGAGGCATCTACCTAATCTCCATGATTACTAAGAGTGGTATGGAGAGAAAAATCCCCATGTTAGTGAGCTTAGGGAAAATGATGGCCTTTTTATTCTGGGAGAGATTTAAAAGCAGGGAATGATCCACTCTATAGTTTTACATAAGGAAAAAGTATCTATTTACAGTAACAAAAGAAAAAGAAACAGACCTAGAGTGAAATGTGTAGGACTTGTATAAAGAAAATGTTTTTTGGAAAAATATTCCTTGCTCACGTATTGGAAAATTTAACATTGCCAAAAGGCCATTTTCCACAAAACAATATAAAGATTCAACACAATTCCAATAAAAATATCGATGGCATTTTTCAAAAAACAGTCTGGTACTGAAATAAAAAGAGCCACACAAACCAATGATGAATAGAATTCAGAGTCCAGAATAAACCCATGAATGTATGGTCAGATAATCTATGAATAAGGAGCAAAAACATACACTGGAACAAGGATAGCCTGTCCAATAAATGGTTTTGGGAAAACTGGACAGCTACATGCAAAAAATAAGACTAGACCTTGATCTCACACCATACAACCAAAGTCAGCTCAAAACGGATCTGGGAGTTGTAGGTAAACTCAAAACCATAAAATACAGGAAGAAACAAAGGAAAAGCATTTGATGACATAAGCTTTAGCAATACCTCTAGGGATTCATTAACAACAGCAAGGAAAACAAAAGAGAATATAAATATTTGGGGCTACATCAAACTAAACAGTTTCTATACAGCAAAATAAACCACAATGAAAGCAAAAAGACATACTACAGCATGGAAAAATATATGTGCATACCATATATCTGATAAAGGGCAAATCAAAGATCTACAATGAAGACATAAAACTCTATGAAAACAAATAATGCAATCAAAATATGGATTCTTTTACTAAACAGACACCTCTCCAAAGAAGACATTAAAATGGTCTGCAGGCACATAAAAAATGATCACAATCACTTATTTTAAAGATATGCAAATGAAGAACACAATGAGATATCATGTCACACCTGTGGATAGGGCCCATATTAAAAAACAAACAGAAAAAACAAGTGCTACAGAGGATGTGGAAAATGGGACCCCTCCAAACACTGCTGGTGGGAATGCAAACTGGTGCAGCCCTTATGCAAAGCAGTATGGAAGTGTCTCAAAACATTAAATATGGGTTTGTCAATTGACCCAGGAATTCTACTCCTAGGAATCTGTGCAAAAAATTCAAAATCACTAATTCAAAAGGAAACCTGCACTCTCATGTTTATTGTAGTCCTATTTACTGTAGCTAAATTATGGGAATAACCTAAGCTCCCCAGAACATTTCAGTAGATCAAGAAGATGTGGTATATTGATACACAGCAGAACACTTATCCAGTGATCAAAAAATTTTCATGTAATTTATGGTAACATGGTTGGAGCTTGAAAGGATAATCCTCAGTGAAATAAGTTAGAAGAAGAAAGTAGTGGATGGTCTCACAAATATATGGAACATAAAGTGACTAAATTAATAGTCTGATAAAGACACACTGGAAAACGAGCCCTAGATTGCAGACTACAGAACTGAAGCACCAATGTGCAGAGAGAGCAGAGGAGAAGAAAAAAGAGGAAAGGAAGCATAATGGTCAATGGACAAGTTGGTGGTGGGTGTACTATGGTGGTAATACCCAATGGGGGTAGCCCGATATTATCTCAGTTCAGAATAAATGTATGTTAAAAAAAGAAGATATCCCTTGAGGAAAAAAACACTAAGGTGCATAAAGGAAGTTGGAGGAGTAAAGGATAGATATTCTTTAACAGATTTAATATCAAAACAATATAATTTAGCCCTAAGTAATTAACTTAGCAATTGGTTAATAAAAAAGATAGCTAGAAGAACCCCATTAAACTGGTTTATGGAAAGTCAAATAAAAATAATAGAAAAAATAACCATTAAACTTTTTAGGGAAAAAATAGTATGGTAAATTAGCACCACTATATTATAAAGCATAGTTTTAATACTTAACACTTATAATGGTGTAATAGCTCACAAAAAGAGAGATGAACTAATTTAATACAACAGAAATTATAGAATTAAATTCAAATGCATAATGTAATATATGAAACATCTCAAACTATTAAGAAAAATGAAATATCTTGTATATGGGAGGATTGGCACAGTTCCTTGAAAAAATATTACATCAATATCTCCTAGTATGCATGAGGATAAATCTCAAATGTAATGAAGATTTAGATATATCAACATGTATCCTCAAAATCACAAATAGAAAACAGGATAATTTTAACCTGGGATTAATGTATCAATAGAAAAATGGACAAAGGCAGTAAACACAGCATATACAGAAAATGTAAATACAACTGGCTCTTAAACATAGAAAATATTCTTAAACTCACTAATAAGTAAATGCATAAAAATAGATGCTATTTATTTTACTTGTCAGATTGTCAAAAATCCAAATGTTTGACATGACGTAAGATGTTCAGAATTGCTCATTCTTAGACTTGGTGTTCAGATATAAATTAAAGCTCCATAGAACACAATTTGACAGTTACTTCTAAAATTTATAATTGCATACGCCATTTTTTCTTACTTCTGGGAATTTACTTTTTTATGAAATTGTATATATTAAAAATGATTTTATTTTTCATTTTCAATGTTATGCATTCCTTCACTGACAGTGAAAGAGAAACTAAAATTTTAAAATCCACCAATTGTGTGATTATTATTTTTTTTGAGATTTATTTTATGTATACAAGAGCTGGGGTACAGGCCAGATGCACAGGAGGGTGAGAGGACTCACCACAGACAGAGCGGGGAACAGAACAGGCAGACTGATGAAATACACTGCTGAGGGGAGCAGCGGGCGCGACAGAAGAGGTCTGCTCGCCATGTGGGTTGCTCGGAGGCCGGCGGGGATCGAAGCGGCACTGTAGAGGCTGCACACAGCTTTACAGTGCTGCACTCAACAGCCTCCACCACCAGGGAGGCCCCACGAATTGTGTGATTCCTAAATAGTATTATATATATATGAAGAAATAATATATGGCTGTGAAAAAAGTTTACATGTGAAAACAACTCCAAAATATCTTGGGGATGGGGAAAAAAAAGAAAAATACAGCAATGTAATGATTTCCATTTGCATTTTCTTTATATGCATCTTAAAAATCTGGAAACAAGCAAGAAATTAATAAAAATGAATATTTCAGGCTGAGTATTAGATAGATACAATTGTAACAGAAGTCATTTTACTTTCTATTCTTTTTTACTGTCTGTCACTTACCAGTATTGTACAGAGAATAGAGTTGACCCTCACTAGTCTGAAATTCCACATCCAAGTATTTAACCAATAATGGATAGATAACAGTTTCTGTATAATTAGGACTGTGATGGCAACACACTAAACATGTGCAGCCTGTTTTCTTGTTATTATTTCCTAAACAATATAACAATGTTTTACATGGAATTTACATTATTTTGATACATAATTTAAACTCTACAGAAAGATGTGCATAGGTTATATGCAGAGACTGTCATTTTATATAAGGGACTTGAACATCTGTGGATTTTGGTATCCTCAGACATTCTAAAGCCATTCTCTCTGAGAGAAGACTAAGTCTATGGGTGGATGGATGGATGGATGGATGGTTGGATAGATGGATGGGTGAACAGATACAGAGATACAGACAGATGATGGATGATAGATTTCAAAGATAAATAATATATTCTATAGAATAAACATTTTCAAACAGTAAAATACTTATTAAATTGTTATATAATTAAAGGTATGTAATATTGTATATTTAAATAATTATTCAGATGTTGAGAGGTAGATTCAAAACCTGGAGATGATACATATTACTGCTACATCTGTGACCTGTCCACTTTTTAGTAATAAATTGGATATACACCTCCAATACTACCAACCTATGTAATTAAAACAAAGACATATATCCTTAAATTCCATGAAATCATATTAAATTATTTGGGGGTTTATTTTTTTCCTTAACTGCTGCTATCCCACAATTTAACAAAATCATAATACGCAATTCCTGAGACTAAGGTCTGATTCTCTGATCTAATTTAGAGCTTATAAGACAAAAGGATGCTTGCTGCACTTCTTAAATTTAATTATGGGGTGAAAGAGGAATGATGAAAAGACCGCATTGGTTCTAATATAAATTACCTTCTCTCTGCTGGAGGAGCATTATCAGCTGCTTGGACCGTAAGTGCGTAAGTCTGCCCAACTATCAATTCCACCCCGGCAGCGATGGTGATAAGCCCTGTTGTTTTATTGATGACGAAGTCTCCCTGAGCACCAACCAGGATTTCATATGTGATCTCCCCATTAGACCCTTCATCTGCGTCGACTGCAGTGAGCTGGAATTGAAAATTACAACATAAATCCTCTTGGGACACAACTTTTCACCACTGTGTTATCCTTCCCCCCAACAACAACAACAAAAACTTGTTTTCAAAAACAACAAAGTAAAGAAAGTTCTCTTGGCACATTTACAGTTGTTTTCTTGATGGAAGACTACAAAAAGAACGACATTTATTAATTTCAAGAAGTAAAATTAAGGAAATAATGATTTAATATGTTAAATAAGGTTCCTTGAATTTCTGATAAATATGAAATATAAATTCTAGTGAAAAAACATATGTACATTTTACAAACTCACTGAAATCTATATGTTTAATTATATCAAAATGTAGTGAAGAAACCTAGGTGGCCTCAAATTGCACATGAGGGCAAAACTAAAAGTTTTTCACTGAATTAAGAAAACACACTTGATTATAATAAATATACCTGTAGAAAATTTTTCTTATTTACTGACATTTTCTTATGTACTTTTCAACTCTGTGTCTTCTATAAATCAGTAGTTCTTTATCATTCACAGAGATTTTGGGGAGTTACTGATGGACACTATCATGCACTTTTTAGACAAAATGTGACCATGCACATTTACCTTAACACTTGAGGTCAATTTCAGGAATTTCAAATAAATGAATGTCCTATTCAAGTTGCAAGTTTACTATTCTGATAAAATGTAAAGAAAGTAAAGTTCGCCATCATGCTTAAGGAGATAATTTATGCATATTTTATTTCAATTTTTATTACATACTTCTTGCAGAGTAGTAATGTGCACAGAAATAGCAGCACAGAATAATTTGGAGGAAAAATTTGAGAGACTGTCATTAATTCTGTTAAGTCTAAGAATGGGTATTTGGGGGTAGACAGATGTGGCTGACAGAAGGAAATGCATTTCATAAAAAGATTCTGGGACTTACATGAGAATGACATAGTCCTAAAGGCAAAGGAGAAGGAAACTATTTGCCAAAACAGTCAAACAGAATGATATATATTTATGGAGAATTATTCAAGCCAGACAAATCCATTCTCTTTTGTGTGTGGATAAAATTAGAAAATTAGGTGGGGGGAAGCACAGGCAGTATCAATTTTGATTATAGTAAATCACTTAACACAATGTCTCAGGAAATCTTAATTAAAATTTAGCTCAAATTGGATTCAATATTAACATTCTTCCTGGGACTTAAATTGGCTAAAGGAATTTAATGATAAATGGCAAGTCATCAAGTTAAGAAGTATTGAAGAGTGTGCTTCAGGGATGTAGGTATTATGATTGATCTTATTTAACATTTTCATAAATGATATTGGAAGGAAGGGGATAAGCTGGATGATATTTAAATGGAAGAGGGCACCCATCTGGGAGATGATGTAAATACCAAACAGCACTGCAAAACAAGGGTGATAAAAATACCCCTAAAACTGCAGAGCCAGTCAACCACAGATAAGCTAATGTGTTCAGGAAACACAACTACTGTGACAGAATAATTTAGAGGAAAAAAGTAAATTTGAGAGACAGTCATTAATTCTTCTCAGTCTAAGAATTGGTATTTGGGGTAGACAGATGTGGCTGACAGAAGGAAACTATTAAAAAATATTAGAAAGGAAATTTAATGAACCAGAAGTGAATTACATTTTTAGATTACTTAAATTATATTATGCTATTTTTTCAGCTTTAGTACTAAGTAATGCAATAGCAGGTTAAGAATCAACACACATGACTTCACTCACATAAACAAAAATGTTTTGAAGAAATTATTGGTAAACCAAGGTTAGAAAGGGGGAACTAAGACATTAACTCTGCATATTCACAAAATATCTCTGATTAATATATTTCAATCTATTAGAGGAAATCTGCATCCTAAGTTAGAAAGGAATGATGAAGGGGCTAATTTACAAAGAAAGCCAGTTTACATGTTATCAGCTGAAACTAAAGTGAAATTTATGGACTTTAATTGATTTATGTAGATGTTGTCATATCTAAATGGTAAGAAATACTGTTATTTTGTGAATAGAAAGGTCAGTCTTACCTCCCACAATTCTTACCTCTTGGTTTTGTAATATGTACATATTCCAGATATCTTTAGCCCCTCTTACTCCCACATATTAAAAAAAAAAAAAAAGATTTGTCCCTGATATCCTTTGTAGTCTGGCTGCAGCCAATTTGTATCTTCAATTTCTCTTTAATGCCTTTGAGACATATGATTTTGTATAAAAGGATAAATGTAAAGAATACTAAATAATAAAATAGTGAAAAATTCAAATTGGAATTTCAAAATGAATCAGGGATAGAAAAGTTATAGTTGATGAAAAGCATGAGCATAGTACTTTTTATGAATAAACTTTTTCAGCAAACGTTATATCTAAATTAATATGAAATAAATGCGTTGGCCATTTGACACTTTAACATTCTAGGCAGGCTGGGTCTTTTTTTCTAATATGACACCTAACAGATGAAGTGATTTAGGGGCTGTGACAAAGAGTCTGAGATTCACTATGTGGGGCAACTAAATAATGAAACAATTTACTTATATTTGATTTTAATATATGCAGAGTAGCCTTTACATTGCTAATGCACTTCACATCTGATTTAGATCTACACCATAACCTTCTGCTGTTATAGAAAGAGATTTTCTGCAGTATACAAATACAAATTTGGCACTTGTAACAATAAAAGAGCAGAATACCTGCAAATCCTGTGCAGAATACCTCATCATCTAAATATTTACTCAAATCTATTACTTTTTATGACTGAGATATTCTTGTAATAAGGGATTTTTTTATATTCTAACTTCCAATGAAATTCACCAACCAATTAGGAAGGGTGAGAAATGGTGAGAATTCCCTTAATTGGTATTAGCTTAGTAATCACCCTCTGCCCATTCCACTATCTCAGAAACTCAGAAAGTGTCTGAGGCTTGGTTTATTTTGATTTTTAGCTAAGGTAGAAAGACACTGTTATGTTTCAAAATTCACTTTTCTTTTCTGTTATGTCATGCTGATTCCTTTCATTTTGTGTTCTACATTTAATAAGGTATATTTTTTCTTTTTTTTTCTTTTATACTTGTGAGAGTATAAGAAGCATGGTTTTTGAAGACTTCTGTAATAAATTAAAAAAAAACAATTTGCTATATTTTAATTTTCAGGTGGTATTTATGCTGATTATTTGTACACTATTTGGGGAAACAGTGGGAATGATTATCCCTAGGAGAATAAAGACCAGTGAAAATGTCAACAGAGTTGACATTGAGTAAATTCATGCTACATTCAAAAAAGTGACGGGTGAAGATAATGATTGGCAGTTTTGGTCTGGGCAGGTACCAGTGGCAAGGCTATTGGCTTATCCAGGAGTCTGGGAGAAGGGGAGCAGAGGTTATGTGGAGACACACTGCCTGGACAGAGGGAAAAGCCTGTGGAAAAGCTGAGGTGCTCCAAACAGACTGGGTCTATAATTAATAGCAGAGAAAACATTCTAACCTAACCCCTCTTCTCATCCTATGGGACTGGTGATTATATTTTGCAACACACCGAAAGCATGTAGTCTCTCATTCCAAACATTGGAGAGGATGGATGTTGGGGGTGCCACAAATGTGAGCCAATCCAACCCTAACTCATCCATACAAATGTCTGGACCTCTCAAATTCTCTCCCCCTCCCACTGCTGACTCAGCAACTTTAAGGCAAATGTGAGTACATGCAGAACCAAGGTAGAGGACAAAATAAATAAAATCAAGAAAACCACAACACCAACTGCTGGGAAAATAAAATAGTTTAAACTGCTAAGTTATCACTGAATATATTTATTTAAAATATTAAAATAGGCTGATCTCAAGTAGCAAAGAGGGGAGACAAAAATCTAACACTTGGAAATATGAGAACACAATAGATTGTGACATTACATGGTGAGTACAACTCTTCAAAATCCAAACATAAAAAGATGGAAGATAACTAACAGATATTTCAGAACTCCTATAATAAAGAAACTATAGAGGAAATATCAGAAAGACAAGTTAAAACATTATAAAAAATTTCCAAAAGGTAAGTCAAATAAACACAAGTGAACTCAGCAAAGCTAGTCAAAGAGACACCACAAAATTCAGAAAAATAAGTTAATAGGTTCACAGTTAAAATAAATGAAAGGAAGGGTGTAATTGAAGCTTTAAAAAGGAAATAGGGCCTCCCTGGTGGTGCAATAGTTAAAGACACAGTGCTATAAAGCCAACACAGTCACTGCAGCATGAGTTTGATCCCCAGCCAGGCTGGCCAGGGAGCTAACCCACACGGTGCAGCAGACCTCTCTTGTCTTCCCACTGTTCCCCTCAGCAGTGTATTTCAGTAGATCTGTCTGTTCTGCTCCCCACTCTCTCTGATATATCCTCCCACTGCCTCCCTGCTGCTCTGGCCTACACCCCAGTTCTTGCATGCATGCATGCATAAATGTTTACAAAAGGAAATAATTGAAATATTCAGGGGGTTAAGAGCATAATGAATAAGATTAAGAATTTCCAGAAAAAACTATGTAGGTTGAATAGAAGGAGAACCCTTAAAGGCGGACCTAGAGCAAGTGGGATTAACAGACATCTACAGAATGCTCCACTGAAAAACTGATTAATATGTTTTTTTTCAATGTATATAACATTTTCAAGTATATACATTTGTTGGAACACAAGTTAATTGTGAATAAGACAACAAAAGTTGAAATCATAACAGATATACTTTCTGATCGTAATTTCATAAAACTGGAAACAAACTTAGAAAAGGAAAAAGTCATAAGTACATTGAGTCTTAATGATATGTTGCTTAATGACTATTAGATTCTAGAGGAATTTATAGCAAAAATTGAAAAATACAGCTTGAGATGAATGAAATTGAGGACAGAACCTATCAGAACTTAATGGATGCAGAAAAAGTTGTCTGAAAGGAAAGATAACTTCAACAGAGTCCATATTAGGTACCAAGACAAATTCCAAATAGCCAACTTGATATTACACCTAAAGTAACTTGGACAAAGA